TAAGCTCTTTAAGTCTCTTATCTCAGGTAGCTTTCATTGAGTACCAAACCACTCCAAAACTGAGTGACATAGTTCTGGAGATTGGTTGCACAACATTGTGAGTGTACTTAACACTACTGAACTGCACACTTAAAAATGGTTAACATGGGGGGCCGGCCTGGTGGCACAGCAGTTAAGTTCGCACATTCTGCTTTGGCGGCCCGGGGTTCGCCGGTTCGGATCCCGAGTGCATACATGGCACCGCTTGGTAAACCATGCTGTAGCAGGCGTCCCACATATAAAATAGAGGAAGATGGGCACGGATGTTAGCTCAGGGCCAGTCTTCCTCAGCAAAAAGAGGAGGATTGGCAGCAGATGTTAGCTCAGGGCTAATCTTCCTCAAAAAAAAAATTGTTAACGTGGTAAATTTTATGTATATTTTACCACAATTAAAAAAAATCAAACTTGGTGACTTAAGATAACAACTGTTACTTAGTTCACAATTCTCTGGGAAAGCTGGGGAGTTCTGGTCTGGACGAGCGTGGTCAATTTCTACTGGTCTTGCTCAGCCAGCCAGTCAGCTTGTGGCTTGACAGTCTGATGGTTAGCAGGCTGTAGGCTGGAGTGTCAAGGGCAGACTGGGCCATATGGATCTCATCATCCAGCAGGCAAGCCCCCAGACTCTTCACGTGGCAAGTGGAAGAATGCACACCCCATGTGCGTGCACTTTCCAAGCCTCTGCTTGAGTCACATTTGCTACTGTCTTGTTAGCCAAAAACTCATAAGAGGAACCCAGATTCAAGAGGTGGAAAAAGACCCCATCTCCGATGGAAAAAGCCACAAACTTTTGTGGCCATTTTGTAACTTACCACCCTTAGTCAGTGTTGACAACAACGCTGAAGAGATAAGTACTGTTATTGCTGCTGTTTTACAGATTAGGAAATAGTGGCATAAAGTAACTACATCACTTTTGAAGGGTCACACAACTGCCAAGTGGTGGTTCCAGGATGCCAACCCAGGCTTGTCTGAAGACCTCCATGCTTCCAGTTTGGGGGCCACCTGGGATAAGGAGCAGAGGCTTTAGCCCCAGACAGCTGACCAGATCCCAGGCTGTCGCATGTGCTCCCAGCACATCACAGGCACTCTACAATTCCTAGTTTCTTTCTTCCCTTCCCAATTCTGCATGTATTAGCTTCCTTCCAACCAATTAACCAACCAACCTCCCTCCCTCCCTTCCTTTCTTCCCTCCTTCCTTCCTTTCTTCCTCTCTTCCTTCCTTCCCCTTCCTTCGTTTAACAAATATGTGACCAACAATTGCATGCCAGTTATTGTTCCAGGTGCTGGAGATACAACAGTGAACAAGATAGGTGAACATCTTGCTTTTATAACGCTTACATTCTAGAGGAAGAGAGAGAGAATTTTTAAAAAGCAAATATACAGCATTTCAGGTGGAAATAAGTACTACAAAGAAAAATAATAGCAGGGCAAAGGATCTGCGTGTCTGAAGTCAGGGCACACAATTTATCGGGTTGTGATTTGGGTTCAGAGACTTGGCTTCTCTGAGTCTCATTTTTCTCTCTATAAAATGAGACTATTGGAGAAAATAGTAGCGTTGGTTACCCCTGGAGAGGAGACTAGGTGGGCTTGGTAAGGGGGTAGGAGAAAGACTTTTCACGGTATAATCTTTTGAATGTTTTTAAAAGTGAGACTTGGGCTAGTCCCTCTTCTAGCTCTGAGATTGATGAACAATACAGTACAATATTATTTGTGGTGTTAGTTGCAGTTTTTCTGAGCCCTTTTTAACCCCCCCACCCAAGCCATTTTTGAAAAATAGTTGAGTGTACTTCTAATTAGAGGAAACATGGGAGAAATATTTTCCTTCACTTAACGTCATCTTAAGTTAAGTAAAGCTGGAAAAAAATTTACCTTAGGTATTGAGGGCTAATTATTTCTATCACAGAAGGATTTGGCTGTAAGAACTCAGGATTCGGTGGAATTGATTTATACTGAATTTTTAGGAGCATATCAGTAAATCTAGGGGCCTACTGCCACCTGCAAGTTGTGTGACATCACTCAGAGGGCACACAATGGAAAAAGCAGGTGTTTTGTGATCAGGCCCATCTGACTCCTAGCAAGTCTAAATCGTGTTATTTAGACTAATATCTGAAGTCTGTTTCTAAATCCTGACTGTTAGCTGAGTAAGTTTTGGTAACTTAACCTCCGAGCGACAGTTTCTTCATCTGTACAATAGAGATGCTGGATCACAATCCCTTAACCACGACTTCCCAACTCCAAAATGGTCTGAAAACGAAGAGTTTTTTCATAAGTCAAAATTTGGCCAGCAAACCTGACCTGAATTCAAGTGATCCCGCTTATATAAATATTCAATGTTTTGTGGAAGAAGTGTTAATAGTCAATTATGGGGTGCTACTCTACCATGACTGGGGCTGTATATGCATTTTATTGCCTGTTTTCTAAAATTCTGAATTCATGAAGCTTTCAGGTGGATTGTAGGTCTCTAAGACCTTCCTCAAAGGGCTTTTTAGGGATTAAAGGTAATGATTGTGCTGTGGTTGGCCTGTAGTAGCTGCCCAGTAAATGGTAGCTATTAATTTGGTTGTTACATAAATTCAGTTCTCAAGTTTTTGGGGTCCCCCCAATTCTGAGGGAACCTGTGTTACTTCACGTCTCCGTGGAAGGCTGTGGGGAGGCTCGGTGGCTGTTCACCGTGGAACTGTCTCAGCTTGAGGCCGGAGCACCAGTCTGATGAATTCAGTCTTGTCCTTGCAGCCACTGCACGCTCTTGCCTTAACGCCCTTTCTCCCTGTTTTCTCTTGCTGGAGAGTTCTGGGGAGTGCGCTCACTCTCAGACAGCCGTGGAAAACATTGGCAGGCTCCAGGGACAGGCGCAGGAGGGCTGGCTTTTTGTTCCCCCTAGCTCATGGGAATCGAGCAGTGGAAATTTTTATAGTGAGTAGTGTTTTCCATAGTGTATTTAATAGTTATACCTTCCTGTATCTTCTTGCTAGTTTGAGGAAATTATTGTTACAGTGTGGGGTACTGAAAACAAATAGGTGACTGGAGAAAGAATGATGGAGGAAGGAGAGAGGGACGTGATTTACTGACCTTGGAGAGGAGGGTAGCGTTCTTTAAGATGGTTGCTCTTCAAAACCAGTGCAGCTGCACCTTTGCATTTATTGAAACTCATGATTAGACATCAGCCCCCGAACCATTACTAGTTGTAGCTGAGGATTAAAACATGTGGCAGCCCAGTGAGAGGAACCATTGTGGCCTGATAACACCAGCGAGTGTGAGGAGCTGCCGCGGGGCTCAGCAAATGGCCACTATCCTGTTTCTTTGATTTTACTGTGAAGTCTTGCCTCTCCACATTTTGAGAAGGAAGGAGTTGGTGAATAATTTTTGAATACACTATGAATGTATTCCTCTATTCATCAAAGCTTCACTGAGTATTTTTATATGCCAGACACTGTACTAAGTGATTTTACTAATATATGGTGCTCAGTAAATATTATTTTATTTTTTTGCTTGAGGATCATTGCCCCTGAGCTAACATCTGTACCAGTCTTCCTCTATTTTGTATGTGGAACACCGCCACAGCAAGGCTTGATGAGCCGTGTGTAGGTCCACACCTGGGATCTGAACCCATGACCCAGGACACTGAAGCAGAGCATGCAAACTTAATCACTATGCCACAGGGCCAGCCTGATATTAATTTTTACTAATAATTTTTTTATTGAATATGGCAATAAAGTCAAACTCTCACAATTATGTGATTTTTTTTTTAAAACTGTACTCTTTTGACAAAGTAATATACATCCGTGGTAGCAAATATAGGAAATACACACAAGTAAAAAGAACATAATTCACCTGGACCCCACCCACTAGGGTCCAGGTCTCGATTTTAACATTCCAGAGTGACTATGGGAAATATTTTAACCACTCCCCTGTTGTTAGATATTTGAAATGTTTCCCGTTTCTCTCTTAAAAATAGAGTCGGGGAGGAGTATATGGGGACTCTCTGTACTTTCCACTCAATTTCCTGTGAATCTAAAACTGTTCTAAAATATAAAGTCTCTATAAAACAGAACCAAACCACATAAAAACAGTCAACAATTCTTTCTGATATGCTTGCATTGAAAATATGGCTTTTTTCCCCCTGGAAAAACAGTTCTTGTTTTCCTCAGGAAAGAGTAGAGTTCAGTAGCTGGTTACAACTCATTGATTTGGAGGGGGAAGATGAGAAGAAATCTTAAAAGAATAGCTAGCTTTCCAGAGGATAGTAGAGGTTTACCTAGCGTTAAAGCAAAACGAGAGCTGGACAGTAGTTAAAGCGGTAAAAACATGTTATTCAGACAAGCGACTGCAATAGGAGAAAAAGACTTCAGCAGAGAACTGGGCTGAATTCCGAAGACAACGAGGAAAAGTGGGAATTTATAGCCAAGGAACAGAGTGGAGGTATCAGTGGATGGAAATTACTAAGAGGAAAGAAATATCTGGGGTAGGGAGGGGTTCTGGTTAAACGACCTCACGGGAGGTCCCGCTGGAGGCCAGGGCGATGGGATGGTAGGGGGTGAGGAACCGGGTCAGATAGTGAGGGTGATCAGATATGGGGATGGGGGATTCTGGCCAAACCAATTTAGGAGGGTTCTTGCTAAAATTGGCCCATGCAAAGATAGACACAGAAGTAGAGGATTCCGAGGAGCCAGGCTACAGTCTGGTCAAGGAGAGATTCTGTCATAGGGAGGAAGAGCAGGCTTCTCAAAAGAGGACTGGGTCCCGTTAGCAGCCTGGGGGCTCTGGAGAGAAGAGGACGACCCAGAGGGAGGCACGGGGTGGCGGCGGAGTTGGGAGCCGCGAGGCGGGACGGGGCGGGGCGGGGCGGGGGGGGGGCGGCGGCCCCCACGTGTCGGGTGGCCCGGTGGGCCCGCCCCAAGCCTATTGGGGTGGAAGGAGAGGCCGCCCCGCCCCTCGGTGGGCGCCTCCCAGCTCCGCTCGGGTCTATGGAGGAAAAACCCTGCGTTGGCTCGGCGATTCCCATGGCCGCTGCCGCCTGCGGCACCAAGGCCATGTCCCTCTTCAAGCGGACCTTGGTGCTGAGTCCCGCGGCGGCGCCCAGGGGCACGGGCTCGGGCGCCACCCCGCGCGGGTGCCCCTTGCCGCCCGCCGCCTGGCCCTCCAAGGACTGGCCGCGGGGAGAGGGCGTCTGCGGCAGGCTGCGGACCCCCCCGGCCCCCGGCCGCCGGCCCCGGTCCCCCTGCTGCTCCTCCACGTCGGCCAGCTCCGCCTGTGTGCTCTGCCCGCAGGACTCGCTCAGCAGCAGCTTGAGGACTTGCTACAAGTATCTGAATCAGACTAGTCGCAGTTTCGCGGCCGTGATCCAGGCGCTGGACGGGGAAATGCGGTGAGTGGCGGAGGCAGCTCGTTTTGACTTGGGGGAGGAAAGCTTTCCCGGGGGACTGTGAGTCGTTGGAAGCTACTTTTTGACGGGGCCCCTAGCATGGCAGCCTCCGTGCTTGTGGCTTAGCCAGAAGGTGTCCCACCAGAGTGAAGGAAATGGTCGGGTTGGAACGCCCGTGTATTTACTTTAGAATGCCCTTCCTGGCGCCTCGCCATCTAATAGTGTCCCTGCAGGCCCAGCTCTGTCAGGGAAGGGCGGGGCTTGGGGTGGGGTGGTGTTTATTAACTTTTTTAGTCCTGGCAGCAGGTCGTGCATTTTTCTTGGCTTCACTTACCTACTTTTGCATTTCTAGTATATTGGGTTAATTCTTCTGAAGTTGCCTCTGTGCAGATTACATACGTGAACTTAGACCACTTGCCTTTATGTATGATAGTATTTATCCTGAGGGTTATTGTGTCTTTTTTCTTTTATTTTTTTATCTGCAAAGTATTCGTTCTGTCTAAATATTTGGTGTCTTGGTCTTTGTACAGTTGTTCTACGTTAGTTAAATGTAACTTGTTCTGGGAGGCGTAGTGACATCCAGCTGGTAGGTTTTTTATAAATAAACTATAGAAGTTCGTTGCTTCCATCTAAGAAAGGAAAACTAAGATTTTCGTTAAGTGGGCTTTGGGAATCCTTTCATGGTTCTGTAGAGTAGCGGGTGAAGAGGGTTTAGAAAATAGCCTGGCATAAATGACATGTTACTTTAAAATAAATATTTTTGGATGTTTGTTCAAATATATTAATGGCTCTTCCTTTTTTACAGCCATGCAGTATGCATATTTTATCTGGTTCTGCGAGCTCTGGACACTCTGGAAGATGACATGACCATCAGTGTAGAGAAAAAGGTCCCACTGTTACACAACTTTCACTCGTACCTTTATGAACCTGACTGGCGCTTCATGGAGAGCAAAGAGAAGGATCGACAAGTGCTAGAGGACTTCCCAACGGTAGCAGCCTTACAAATCTCTTCTGCATATAGTTGTGTTTATAATTGATGATGTTGTTGTCAGCTGGCCCACATCCCTGTAGTGAACAGTGCCATAAGCAGTCTGAAGGCAGCATCATATAGTGTCATGGTTAAGAATTCTGGTAGCCAAGACTCTGAAGCCAGACTGCCTGGGTTGGAATCCCAGCTCTCCCACTTACTGACTGGTGCTTAGGTACGTAGTCTGTGCCTCAGTTTCTTCATCTGTAAGATGGAGATAATAATAATACCTACCTCACAGTATTGTTTTGAGGATTAAAAGAGTTAATATAGGTAAAGCTCTTGGAATGGTGTTAGCTCCTATTCTTATTACCAATATGTTTGGAAGTCCAAATCTTCCTGTGGAAAGATGCATTCAAATTCCGATGTTGTAAAAGGTGGCTTCTCAGGCTAGCTTACAAAACCTGTTGCTATATAATGCAGCCTAAGTCTCTAGCACTGCTGGCTTCTTGGGTCCCCTAAGCCTGGGAGCGTGGACGTGCTGCTCACAGAGGGTCTCCGCAGTGGGGCAGGGAGCGGGCTCTGCAGCTGGGGCGAGAACTGAGAAGCGGGGTCATCCTCTCCCACCTACAGCTGTGTGATCCTGGACAAGAGCTTTAACTTCTCAATTGTAAGGTTAGAGCTGCGAGGATTAAATAAGTCCATACATATAAAGTACTTGAATGGTGCCTGGTACATACTATGTATTCTGTAAATATTAGCTATTCGGTCCATTCTGTTGGAGTTAAGTGAGTTATAATTAAAATCTTGAACTTTAGAAAATCCCACAAGTTTATGTTACACAAGTGACTAGGTCCTAGTTTTCTGGAATTTGCATGTCTTATCACACAAATAAGTGTTTCTTCCATATCTTCTAAATAAAGATTTGATTTAGCGAAGTCTCATGTTCCCTACTAGTGCAAAGAAACCCTTCTTTTTGTACACAGTTGCCAGAATTTGGGGGAAAGAAGAGTCCTTATGTGACTCTTGCTGTTGAAATGAATCTTTATTCCTGAATGGGGAGGTGAGGAATCCACCCATTACAATAGAAGGTTTGGGAAAGACTCCTTCGGAGCAAAGGGGTACCTCAGATTACTGAGGTCACATCTTCAGTGTCAAAACCAAAAATACGTTACAGTACAATACAAACCAAAGGAAAAAATCTCGAGAATAATTAGGCGTAGTTGACACAGTGTGATACAAAAGAAGAAAGAAAGAATCTGTAAAGAATAGTTGGAGGAGGATTAAGAACTCTCACCTGGAGAAGGTACCGGTGATTTGGCTCTCACAGGGCACCTCTCACAGGGCCAGAGGATGGATTCCCTCTGACTGGAAACCCATGGACATTCGTTCAGAAGCTTTTGCAACTGCTGAAGCAGAGGAAATGCTGCAAACAGGCTCCCTCCCATTGGTAATTGAAGTGTAGTCTCACTTTAAAAAATTAACTATGTATTCTAGCTAAAGCCTCCGAAAACAAGGACAACCTCCCAAACTACTTCCTAATTGAGTACGTTCATACCAATTAAATACTTTCTGGTCATGGGATGAATGTAATAGGTATTTTAAAAATCAAGGCAGCCCTATCTACTCAGCAAAAATGAGAGAATATGAAAATGTGTGAATGCTAAAATCATTTTGCAAGTATAGCTAGTAAGTTTTTAGACAGTATTCCAATATGGTTACAAAACCTAAGTCTCTTCCTTTATAAATACAGCATTCCAATGGAAAAACAGCACATTGTTCTGGCAAGTTTCAGTTTGAACATTAAATCCATGTTTTCCTCTTTTGGGTGGTAGGGTTAGAGAGCAGGCAGATGCTACCCTCCTGAAGGCAGACTTGCCCCTGGTGGAGTAAAGGGCAGCACAAAGCACAGGCCGGGCATCACTGTTCTGCTCCTGTTAACCTTTTATATCCTTATGAAGATGAAATACGTGAAGCTGCGTGTTTTGTGGGAGTGTAATTTTAAGATCCTTGAGTTGAGGTCCTTTCAGTGTGTGATTCAGCTTGAGATAGGAGTTTATGGAAGTTCTGGTGCCTTAATCTTAAGGACTGGTTTGTGTATATGCTGACCCATCCCAGCATCTCCTTGAGATGAGATGCACAATTTGAAGGGTGAAGCAGTTGCCTGGGGTTAGGTGTACAGTCAGTTTTTGCCTGGGTCCTAGGGCAGGACAGATAGCTTGGCCTCACACAAAGTGAGGCAAGGAGGGCCCCTCCGCCTGGCCCCTTACTTTAAAGGGCCCCACTCTGGGCCTCTTCACCCTCGAAAGCGTGAGGGGTTCCTGGGGCTATGGGAGTGTGCCCACCTGGAGCTTAGGTGGCTCCCCTTCTAGACCATGTCCTGGGTATCTGGAATTGCTTGCCCCTAATTCCCTGAGCCCACTTCCAGGGTCCACAGTCTGTTTCCTCAGGCCCCTCTCCTCCAAGGTGGGCCGTGCACCAGTGACAGTGTCCCTAGGCCTGAGAGCGGCCAAGGACGGCTGTTCAGAGGGTTGTGGATGAAGCAGGGCCCTGCAGGCTGAGGTGTCCTTACACATGAGTGAGAGATCCCTCCTCCCAGTGCCGGACAGCTGCGGTGGGAAGGGAAGGGTGGGTCGGCAGTGGGGATCCGCAGTCTTGGCCCTGCTGCATTTTGGAACAAAAGTCCGAGAGCCCAGGCGTTTTAAATTCACACGTGAGTCCTGCAGGTTGTTATGAAGGTGTGTTTGTCAAGGCAGGAGAAGAGTTACTAGCTTGATCGATCATTTTTAAATTTCAAGCCATTTGGTATGTGGGCCCCCTCTTGTGCCCTTTTCCCAGGCCCCACGGAATTAGGGCTAAGCTTAGAGTGTGCTAACCAGGTGGACTCTTTCTCCACGCACAGTCGGCCTGCATTGAGGGTGACCCTGGCGCTTTATGCCTTAGTGGTCGTTAGTTGATATCATTTAGAGTCGGCTTTCTAGACCTCTCATTGTATCTTATGGATTAATTAGAGTATATCTTTTTCATCTGGTACTAGTAGAAACTAGTAGTCTTAGAGATCTACCTCTAATAACAGAGTATTTTAAATGATAATAGCAATAATAGCATATATTTATTGAGCTATGACTTAGTTATAAAATATATTTCATTATTGATTTACCATTTATATTATTTTATATTAGTGTAGTTTTAACAGGTAATCTATGTGATGTGCTGTTATCCACATTTCGTGTAGATGAGGATACAAGACTCTGAGGCACAAGAGTCTTAAGGACCTTGCCTGAAATCACCTGTGAAGTTAATTGACAGAACCAAGATTCAAATCCAAAAGGTCTGACTCCAGAACCCTTGTGTTTAATCACTGCTGTACTGTACTGCCCCTTTTAAAAAATGGTTAAAAATAAAACTCCACATGTACGTGAAGGTAGAGTGACCCAGTGTTTTGATCATAACAGCCCAAGGTTTATGAGGAGAATTTTTATTTACAGGTTAATGGAAGCATCACACTACCCTTGCGCCCTCCTTGGGATGTGGCCTCTCTCCCTTATCCTCGTGGACTCACCCTGGGATCCTTCCTTCATGGACTTGGGGCCACCAGAGAGTGACCCAAGGACGTAGAAATCAACTGTGGTTGTGAAACAGACTTACCCAGACGGGCAGCACAGGGCCATCCTGGCCCACTCCATTCGGCAGTCACTGTTAGTCTAGGGAACATGGCGCTGAGTGTGGAGCGAGTCCGCAGTGCTCTCCCTCCTCCCTCGGGTTTCTGGGAAAACACAGAACTCTTCATTGTCGCTCTTCCCCAGCTATTTTTTTCATTTTTTGAATTATATAATTATGTAATAAGTGCCAAAGAGTTGTTGCCAGGGATGGTTCATATTCAGCAGTGAAGTGTTTACTTTGGAGTGTTTGTTTTTAAGAGTCTAAGCTGCTCCTCCTCCCCCGCCTCCCTGGCCTTTCCTTTCTTATAAATAGAACTGACCCGGCCAGGGATCTGTGGAAAGAGCGGGATCCCAGGGAGACTCAGGGATTCAGGTAATCTTCGGGAGAGTCGCTCTCTTGGTAACTATAGGTGTTACCTTTTGGCTTTATGTTGGAACAGCTGTTCTGGAAAGGTTGGATTGATTTTATGGGTTTAACAGTCGATACTCCTCGGAGTAATCCTAAACTAGTTAGGCTTCTGAATCCCATCAGTGCCCTGCAGCCAGCTGCTTTTCCCTCAGGTCCTCAAATTTAGGTGTTTCCTGAGAAAGTTTTTCTCACCTTTCTGTCAACACAGACCAAGTATCTCTCACACTTTTGGTGTTTAACGAAGTCTGCTCACTGTGTTCAGTATCATGCGTTGGCTCTTAATATTTTGTAGCATTTTATTTAAGAAGTTCCATGGTGTTTTTGTATTGTATTTTGATCATCTATAAACACTTCTTTGAACTTCAATAACATATTTGTGCAGTAGCAATGAATTTTAAAAACATCAGTCCTACTGTTTTGCATTGGAGCTTGGGCTCTGAAGAAAAATGTTGGGTACTATGCTTCAAATTGAGCTAAGTTGAGTTGTTGAAGGAATTAAAAAGTGTAGCCTTATCGTGGGGGAGACGCTATAACTTAGGTGCTATAAATTTGGGGACTGATGATAGAAAATGGTTGGCTAATCTCCTCGATAGAATATAAATTACTTTACGTGAGTTTCTGGTCGTTCCCGGCTGTGTATCCCCGGTGCCCAGACAGCACTTGTTCCGTAGGACGTGCTCGATGATGTTTGCACGCGGGAATCTTCCCTGTCATGAGGTCTATCTGAAATGAGGCCTTTCCTAAAATTCTTACCATTAAATGCCCAGTTGTATGTGAAAGCATCTCATTTATTATGCATTGGCAAGATGAGTGTATAGTAAGACATTGAATCTTCTTTTGAATCTAGGAACTTTACCATTTTTAGACCCTTCTATTTTAATATTTATAAAGTTTGCTGAGTTTAGTATTTAAAATGTAGACAACGGTGATAACCTAGATGTTAGGCTTATAGATGAATCATTGGGAGTCTTGATAACGAGTTCTGCTATGCTTTGCTTTATGATCCATAGGTACCATGTTGGTTCCCAGTGTAAATACATATTTCATTCTTTCTGTCTTTTTATGATCTCCATTTCAGATCTCCCTCGAGTTTCGAAATCTGGCTGAGAAATACCAAACAGTGATTGTTGACATTTGCCGGAAAATGGGATATGGGATGGCGGAGTTTTTGGATAAGCACGTGACATCTGAACGGGAGTGGGACAAGGTTAGTGTCCGTAAAGCATTGTCGGTGTGTGGTGCCTAAGACAGGGCTGGCAGGACTCATCGCGAAGTTCAGAACAAGGGCAAAGGTGTCCACCAGTTCTGGGTTTTCTGGTTTTACAACCCGTCTATTTAGCTTGAATGTCTCATCGTAAACACTTAATAGGGGCTTCTAGTTTAATACTTGAAATAACCCAGGCCCTGGAGAGTTTACCGTTAAGCTGAAGTAGATATAACTTGTCCCAGAGGTACAGTCATTAAGCTTATAAAAGTGTCTTCGACTTGCTGTGAAATTTTAGGTAAGTGGCCAAGTTACTTTATGTTATATAGAGATATCAGTAATTTTCAAATCTTAAAAACATGTTTTTTGTTATTTTTTTCCTTTCCATTACCGAGTATGTGTGTATGTCTAGGTACCTTAGGATCTGAGTCATTTCCAGTTCCATCTTAACATAAGATTGCTTTTGAACTCAGTGTAGCTTGGCCCCATTTACTTAGGAGAAATAATTATCAGTTACCCTGTTAAATTATATTATGCGTCTGTTTCCTTAGAAATAGGAAAGGTTCGTGAGAATCCAGAGGTGTTAACTTTGGATCATAGGTGTGTTATGCTGAGGAGTGAGTGCCTCTCTAATACCTTACTTCTTCCTTTCCCAGCATCTCCTTAAGAAATAGGACAACAAGAGATGTTCCAAGTTTCGTGACACCCCTCTCCTGATTCGTATGCTGGTTATAAATGAATACATGTGAGGATGAGCTGTGGGATACCCTACATGGGTGAGGCTGTCTTCCTGAGGAGACAGAGTAGCTAGAAAGGGCTATGAGAGCAGGTGATGTGGCAAATAAAATTTAATGACCTTTATTTGGTCAGAGGTTATTCCTGACCTGCAGCCGCGTAGGATATTGGTAGGAGTATGGGCCTGGAAGAGAGTGCTTGTCTAGACAGAGTAACCTAATCGACTATGAGGACTAAACTGAACATCAAAATGCAAGATAGGGGCGAAGAGTCTTGCCCATTTTCCATTGGAATGGGTTTGTGAGACTAATTCATCACCCCAATGGAAGTGGAGACATAAAACATCTAAATTGTCTACGTATTTTGTATCTTTAATACTGTTTAGGTTAGGATCTCACAAGAGACACTGCTGCATATTCACTGAGTGAGAGTAGATCCAAAGTTTAGCCTCTTAATCCTTCAAGCCTCAAAACTCAATGGCAGCTTCTTTGGAGCTACTGGTTTATGCTCCCCAGTGAGCATGCGTGTGACTGCTGCTGGAATATCAGTTTATGAATTTAAACTTCAAGTGAAACTCCTCCTGCCCAAGACCAGCCCTGGTTATCTCATAGTAACTCCTTTCCTGCTGTGCAGATCTGTTCAGGAAGCTTAATTACGGGTTGTTGAACAGAAGTTCTGATCAGATAAAATAGAATATTTTTAAAGATATTTTTTCCCTTCAACTTTGGAGGAAGATAAATACTTCCATTCTAGGAGTATTTCTACCCGAAGAACTGTTATCTTAAAATAAAAATAGGCTTTTCTTTGGACAGCACTGTGATGTACTAATGTTTTTCAATTTCAATTAATTCTTTTTAAATTTCTTGTATTTGTCCAAGGCTCATTTCTCTCTGTCTAATTTCAGCACATCTTCACTCCTTCCAGATTCTTCCTCTCCTGGAACATAGTTCAAGTGCTTTCTCTTTGCCATCTCATTGTGCCCCTTGATTAGTCTCTGGCTTTGTATTGCTTTTAACTAGAGGTACTCTTTGCTTTGTGGTCTTTGCTAACTCTGCTCCAGAGCGTACCTTCTTTAATGACTCTTCATTCTTAGATGGCCCATTGGGCCTTCATTTTATAAGTATTCCATTAAGTTGTCTTGAAATACTCTTTTCAGGGGAGGGCAGCTTTGACAAACCACTTTTATGGGAAAAAAAATCTTTTCTTTTTTTTCTGGTGAGGAAGATTCACCCTGAGCTAACATCCGTTGCCAATCTTCCTCTTTTTTTGCTTGAGAAAGATTCGCCCTGAGCTAACATCTGTGCCAGTCTTCCTCTACTTTGTTTGTGGGATGCCTCCACAGCATGGCTGATGAGTGGAGTAGGTCCGCACCCAGGATCCAAACCTGTGAACCCTGCCCACGCCCAAGTGGAGTGCATGGAACTTGAACCGCTGAGCCACGGTGCCGGCCCCTGGAAGAAAATTCCTTGGCAATTAAGAATTATGTTTACTAAGGTCTCTTTTGAGAGAGAGAGAGAGAGAGTTTTGGCAAAGTTGTTAAAGCCTGCCTCTTAAGCCAGACTACCTGGCTTTGAACCCCTGGCCTCTGACTTTCTAGATGAGTGATCTTGGGCCAGGTAATTGACCTCTCTGTGCATCAGTTTCCACATCTATAAAATGGTGATAATGGTATGTACCTCATAAGAAGTTTGTGAGGATTGACTGCAGAGTGCTCTAAACAGTGTCAAGAACATAATGGCAGTGCTCTGTTCTACGTGAGGATTTTGAGACACTGCCAGATCTGGAAATGTCTTCAAGATTAAACTCTACTTAGAATTCTAGTTTCTATTCAAATATTCCTTATTCCCTCATTGTCTTCACTTCAAGTTTTGTATATCAAAAAGTTTACTGTACTAGTTTAGTGTTTCAATAACCTTTTATTCTAGAAGCAGTGCATGTGCATTGTAGAAATATAGAAAATACAAGTAAAAAAATAAAAACATCAACTAGCCAGAGATCACTTTTGTTAAATCTTTTGTGCACATCCTTCTTGACATTTTTTACTCCTTACATGTATATAGTATATATTTGTGTTTTTCAATCAAAATGAGATCTTATACATTCTGTTTGGAACCTGTGTTTTTTTGTAGCTAATGATCTCTAGCGTTTCCATTTTAGTAAAAATTTCATTATTAAAGTACTTTAAAAATAATCTTTTACAGTACTGTCACTATGTTGCCGGGCTGGTGGGAATTGGCCTCTCCCGTCTGTTCTCGGCCTCAGAGTTAGAAGACCCCTTAGTTGGTGAAGACTTAGAGCGTGCCAACTCTATGGGCTTGTTTCTGCAGAAGACAAACATCATTCGTGATTATCTGGAAGACCAGCGAGAAGGAAGAGAGTTTTGGCCTCAAGAGGTAACACATTCAGGGGATTTGGGGAAAAATAATTTTAAACACTCTCTGAAAATAAACCATTAAACTCTTTTGGTTACGAGTGACAGGAACGCAACTCAAACTACCTTAGGCAACGTAAGAGAATGTCTAAAATGTGGTGAAGGTTTAGTTTGCTCCAGGTAGACTGGCTGAACCTAGAGGTTCAGACTATGTAGTCAGGCTCTGTCTCCTTACTTTCTGTCTCTTGGACAGGCTTTCCCCAAGTGGTGAGTATGTCATCCTATGACTCAAAACCTACTAGCTTAACAAAAAAGTCCTTAGCAAGGCCTGGTTGGTAGGACCTGGTTCCTCTGCCCATCCCTTAATCATTTACTGTAGCCAGAGGGCTGAGTATCTGTCTACACCTGGATTATGTCTGCCCAGCACACATGGAGTAGACTCCCCCTAAGAAAGAAGGCTTCTTTGCCAAGAAGGGGGAAAGGATGCTAGTGAGGCAAAAACTACAGATGTCCGTTATAAGAGATAGGAGTTGATCTCTGACTTAATTCAAAAAGGGACAGGGAAAGGAAAGGCTTTGACATTGATTTTATTTGGAAGGAAAGCTAGAAAATATGACTATTTCCTGATTTTACTTTAGTATTTACCTTGTACTTTCCATAAAATGGTTGGTTTCCTAAAACCAAATGGTTTTAAAGTGAAAAAAGAGAAGGGACAAAGTGGGGAAAATATTTGCAGCTTATACTGTAGATAAAGGGTTAATATCCCCATATAAAAAGAACTGCTAGAAGTTAGAAAAAAGGCCCAGTGCCCTGGAGAAAAATGGGCAAAGAGATAAGAACAGATCTTCACAGAAAGATGCAAATAATCCTTAAACATCTGAAAAAATGATCAGTCCTACTCCTAATAAGAGACAATCATATTAAAACTATCCTGAGGGGCCTGCCCCGTGGCCGAGTGGTTGAGTTTGTGCGCTCTGCTTCGGTGGCCCAGGGTTTTGCTGGTTCGAATCCTGGGCGCAGATGTGGCACCACTCGTCAAGCCATGCTGAGGCAGCATCCCACATGCCACAGCTAGAAGGACCCACAAATACACTCCTATGTACCAGGGGGATTTGAGAGAAGAAGGAAAAATAAAATCTTTAAAATAAAACAAAACACTACCCCAAGCTCAGACATAGAGATTTTCAAGCTTCCCAGGTGATGCTAACGTGCAGCCAGGGCTGAGAAACAGCTCTTGACCGCCCCTCCACTGACCCCAAGGCTCAGAGAAGAGTAGAGGCTTGACTAAGGAGCCCCCGTGACTCAGTGGCTGCCCTGGAAGGGAAGCCTCAGTCTCCGGGTGCCAGCCTGGCGTCTCTCCACCGTGCCACGCTGCCTCTCAGACGGGCATGTCGCCCGGTGCTGTTCACGAGCACCAGCTCTGCAGGCCTGCAGGCGTTTCACTTCCCTCTTACATAAAATAGCATAGCTTGCTTTATACCACAGGATAGTGGTGTAAATAAAATGAAGTCAACTTCTAGCCTAGAGTGTTTAATAAATGTCAGTTCAGATAGCTTTAAAAAAAAAAGAACCGTAAGATAGCATTTCTCACATCAGTTTGGCAAATAGTCATGAGTTTGATAAGCCCTAAGCAAGACCAGGGCAACAGCCCCGTATGCGCAGTGGTACAACCCTGGGGTGAGCACTGTGGCAAATGGTGATTCTGGGAGGTTACTGCCCACAGCATCGTCTGCAATAAATAACACAGATGTCCCTCCATACAGGACAGATGAAATGAACCATGGTATATCCACCCAGTGGAGCACAAAAGCACTGTACCACTATGCAGTGATCTCCAGGTTCTGTTATTAAGTGAAAAAAGCAAGGTGCACAACAGCGTGTATAGTTTAAAAGGAAGGAAAACCCAAAAAGTAATAAAATGATTTCAGTAATCATATTGAAATACTGAAACTATTATAGAAGGTTGTAGCATAAAGCAAATAGATAATTGTATTCATATCATTAGGAATCAAGATTTTCAGTCTAGGGCCTGGCCCCGTGGCCGAGTAGTTGAGTTCAAGTGCTCCGCTTTGGCAGCCCAGGGTTTCACTGGTTCTGATCCTGGGCACGGGCATGGCACCGCTCATCAGGCCATGCTGGGGTGGCGTCCCACATGCCACAACTAGAAGGACCCACAACTAAAAATAGACAACTATTACCACTGAGCTTTGGGGAGAAAAAGGAAAAATTTAAAAAAATCTTTAAAGAAAAAAAATTTTCAGTCTAAAGTAAAAGATACAAATATAAAACAATAAAGTTAAGCAAAAACTCCCATAATCTTAAGTTGAATTGGAAATATTGATATGAATTTATGATATGGTTTCTGTCAAAAAAAAAAAAAAGTCTAGCTCTATCTTCTTAAAGGTGTAGAAACAATGACCAAACCCAATAGTAAAGTGTACCTGTGGTGTTCCGGTTATGGTCTTTTGTGTGTGTGTGTGTGAGGAAGAGTCACCCTGAGCTAACATCTGTTCCCATCTTCCTCTATTTTGTATGTGGGATGCTGCCACAGCATGGCTTGATGAGCAGTGTGTAGGTCCACACCTGGGATCTGAACCCATGAACCCTGGGCTGCCGAAGCAGAGTGTGCAAACTTAACCACTGTGCCACTGGGCTGGCCCCCAATTGTGGTCTTTTGATACCATTTCTCACTAAAAGGAACCTGAGGAATAGGAGGGGCAGGAAATATACAAGATGAGCTTGGGACATCATGTCACACCAGGATGAAGCGAGCTGCCAAAGACTGGGTGAAAAGGAGCCAATTTGAAGGGGCTTTCTCTGGCCACATGTGGAATAGTTTGAGTATCAAAAAGAACAAAAACTGTAATTGATAGAAACACATCATAGATGTTTAAATCTAAATCAAAATGAAGGAAAAGCAGACATGCACCTCGATGAGAGATTTGGTGGTTTGTTCTTTTATCAAGAGGCACATAATGTCTGATTTTTGCCCACTTTTGCTGTTAGCAGTCATTATGCTTCATGCCTCGTTCTGTTAATTATTAGGCTTGCAAATAGTAATTTTTTTTTTTTGAGGAAGATTAGCCCTGAGCTAACATTGTTCCCATCTTCCTCTACTTTATATGTGGGATGCCTGCCACAGCATGGCTTGCCAAGCGGTGCATAGGTCTGCACCTGGGATCCGAACCAGCAAGCCCCAGGCCGCCGAAGCAGAACATGCGAACTTAACTGCTGCACCACCGGGCCGGCCCCTGCAAAATAGTAATTTTTTATCACAGCTTTATTGAGATATGGTTCACATACCATGTAGTTCACCCTTTTAAAGTTTTCAGTGGTTTTTAGGATATCCATGGAGTTGTGCAACTGTCACCATAATCAATTTTAGAACATTTCGTTACCCTAGAAGTAACCCCATGCTCACTGACAGTCGGCGTCCATTTTCCCCTGACGGCCACTCTCCAGCCCTCACCAACAGTCTACTTTCTGTCCATGTAGATTTGCCTGTTCTGGACCTTTCGTGTCATAGGTGGTCTTACATGACTGACTTCTTTCACTTAGCATGATGTTTTCAGGGTTCATCCGTGTGACAGTGTGTACCAGTGCTTCATTCCTTTTTATTGCCAAATAATATTCAGTTGTATGGATATGCCACATTTTATTTGTCCATTCATCAGTTGAGGAATATTTGGGTTGTTTCCACGTGATCATTGTTAATAATGCTGTGAACATTTGTATACAAGGTTCTGTGTGGACATATGTTTTCATTTCTCTTGGATATGTACCTAGGAGAGGAATCGCTGGTTCGCACAGCGACTCTGACCTTTTGAGGAACTGCCAGACTGTCTTCCACAGTGGCTGCCCCATTTTACAGTCCTACCAGCAGTGTATGGGGTTCCGGTTTCTCCACATCCTTGCCAATGCTTACTGTACACTTTTTTAACTATAGATGGTAAAGTGTACATAATATAAAATATACCATTCTAACTGTTTTTAAGTATGCAGCTCAGTGGTGTTAAGTACACTCACAATATTGTGCAACCATCACCACCATCTATCTCCAGAGCTTTTTCATCATCCCGAACAGAATCTCTGTACCTATTAAACACTTAACTTCCTGTTCCTCTCTCCCTGTTATCTATCTTTTTGGTTATAGCCTTACTAGTGGGTATGAAGTGATATCTCATTGTGGTTTTGATTTGCAACCTCTGATGGCTAATGATGTGGAGCATCTTTTCATACAGCTATTGGCCATTTGTGCATTTTCTTTGGAGAAATATCTATTCAGATGCTTTTACTGAATACTACTAAAATGCTTTCAGATATTTTGATTGTGTTGTTTGTGTTTTTGTTATTGAATTATAATAATTCTTTTTATGCTCTGGATACAAGTCCTTTATCAGATGGATGAATTGCAGATATTTTCTCCCACTTTATGGGTTATCTTCTTCCTTTCTGGATGACATCCTTTGAAGCACAAAAGATTTTAATTTTGATGAAGTTCGATTTATTGATTTTCTCTTGTTCTTGTGCTTTTGGTATCATATATAAGAAACCATTGCCTAATCTAAGATCATGAAGATTTATGCTTACATTTTCTTCTAAGAGTTTTATAGTTTTAGCTCTTACATTTAGTTCTTTGATCCATTTTGAGTTAATTTTTTGTATATGGTGTGAGGTAGGAGTCCAACTTCGTTTTTTTGCATGGATGTCCAGTTGTCCCAGTACTATTAGTTAAAAAGACTGTTCTTTACCTGTTGAATTATTTTAGCACCCTAGCTGAGAATCGGCTGACCTGAAATGTGAGAGTTTATTTTGGGACTTTCAATTCTATGGCATAAAATAATAAATTTTTAGTTCCATTAATTTTGTTTTCATTTATTAGCTGGACTGATTTTATAAGGAGATGCCTCCCCTCATCTACTATTTGGTTACTAAGTGGTACAGTTCATGTAGGGGAAACAGTATATATACTTGATGTTTTGTTTTCCCAGCTTTTAAGATAATCAATTGGTTTTCTCTTATCCTCAGAAGGTGACCAATTAGGTATTTTTTTGTTATCATTATAAACTCATGGATTAAAACATATTTGATTGAGTTCGATCTATTGCAATTATTCGCATGATGAAAGCACAAAATTTCACTTCTTTGGTCAGCAGAAGGTTCACGTTGGCTCCTGAGTTCTCTTGATGGGACCCTAATAGTCTTTGATGGCTTCCTTGCCATTTGGCATATGTCAAGATGTTCTGAGCTGATTTTGTGCATTCTTCGCCTGAGATCTGGTCTCATCTGGTTCTTTTAATGGGAAATGGTACTGAAGACCACACGTGGGCACTAGGATACGCATTGCTCTCAGGGTGGTCAGTGTGTGTGTGTTTAGTTTAAAGCTAAAATACCTGGTAAGTTTATAGTGATATTTCCCATTCAAACTCAGGACTATAGGATTGTTAATATAATCTCTTTTGTATTAGATCTCTCCCTCACTTCTTCCTTATCAAGATTCATATTCCTCAGGGAAATAGGAGATGATAGAATTAGTATATCCCATAAGTATTCACTTGCTTTTTTCCCACATTACAAATCCTGCAGTCTCTGAATAGTGATACTAATGCTATTATCACCAAGTGTGATTACTGAAAACAATCGAAAATGTTTTTTTGCATGTGCTAGTTTAATTCCTTTTTTTCTTTTTGGCTGAGGAGGATTCGCCCTGGGCTAGCATTCATGCCAGTCTTCCTCTATTTTTTAGTATTCCCCTATTTTTTGCGGGCCACCAGCACAGCATGGCCACTAACAGAGCCGTGTAGGTCCATGCCCGGGAACCAAACCGAGGCTGCTGAAGCAGAGCACACTGAACTTAACCACTGGGCCCCTGGGGCTGGCCCTAATTCCTATTTTTTATGGTTGTATTTATATCTAAATTGTCAGATCAGATAGCCATTACATACTATAATATCTCCTTTTCCCCCCTTATTTAGTCTTAATTTTATGCTCACGACCAGTCTTTATGTTGATGTCTCTAGTCCTTTTGGTTGTCTGAGGCTTGTGCTCTGGAAAGACCCATGAGGATAACAACTCCCCAGGTTTATATGTATTGATAATAGTTTAGGTCCTTTATATTTGAAGGTCAGTTTTTCTGGATATGAAGTTTTTAGCTCACATTTTTTAGTATCTTACATGTGGTACCCTGTTTTCTTCTGCTTTAAAGACTGGCTGTTGAAAATCTAATGAACACTTAATTTTCTTTTCCTTACGAGTAGTGGTTCTTTTTCTTTTCCTTGGTGGTCACTGCCTAGAACCATTGTCATTGGAGATGCCACATGGTAGTATCCTAATTCTATCATCCTTTCTGGATTTATCAGCTAGAATTTTGGATTTTGTGAAAATGGTAGTAGTGGTGACAGCAGCATAGCTTTTGGATTTTCCCAAATTCTCACAAAAAAAGATGAAACAACTCAACAAAAAAACTAAAAGAAGCATACCCAAAACCCGGCCCATGGACAACATGTACAAAAGCACTGAGTGACAGAGCATCCCTAGGAACCCCAGAACCCAAGTGGATGCAGACAAAACGCCAGCAGCACACACAGTGCCAGCGTGCTGCCGGAGTCCGCGTGGGAGAAGGCAGAGGTTGGCACCAGCATGTCTAAGAGGCCTGAGAACGGGAGAGGCCCCCAAAGAGCCAACAGGTGTTCACTGGACAGCGGGGCGGGCCCATTGGAGAAGATGAGGTGGAACGGGGAGAGGACTTTCTTCCTCAGCAGTGGGTGAGTCCACAGGAGCCATGCAACGCCTGCAGGAGCTCCATGGACCAGCCCCCTTGAACTGGACACTGACCAGTCAGGACTCTCTTCCGCTGGGCCCCACATTGAGGAGTGAAATAAAAATTGAGCAGAATAGACCTAATTGAGACCCTGTGTGACATGAACCAAATGCAATATATGGATCTTGTTTAGATCCTTATTTGAACAAACCAAGTGGAAAAAAAATTTAGACAATGCAATGGTTTGAACACTGAATATTTTGTATTAAATATTTACTGTTAATTTTTAGGTGTGATAAGAGGTCTTGTATGTACAAGAAAGGTTCTAAGTCTTTTAGAAATTCCTGCTGAGCTATTTGTGGATAAAATGATATATCAAGGCTTTAATTTAAAATAGTCCTGGGGCTAGGGCAGGGGGTATATAGCTGGAATAAGATTGGCCAAATGTCACTAACTGTTGAAGCTGTGGTTGGATACATAGGGGTTTTCTCCAGCTTCTGCAGAACCATCTAGTACCGTCAGCCTGAGTGGGTTTAGGTGCGAATTCAGAATGGGTAACAAATTTGACTTTCCATAGAATCTCCTAATTCTTCTAGGCCTAGTCATTTATTTTGGGAGGTGTATAAAGTTACCATGAGTGTTATTCTTTAGGAAGCTTAAGGATTACCCAAGAATAAAAGTAAGTTATTTTCTAGCTTCAGAGAATCCTTTAAATAATATTAAAAATCATCAAGCCAATGCTGCTGTTGGAGTTAAGGATGTTATTTCACTTTCAAGGTGCTGAGATTCCAAGAGGTAGTGTTCTTACAGTGTAGCCCCAGCTCTTCCCCATATGCTCGTTCAGCAGCATTCTTATCAGAATTGGGAATGTAAAGTTGATCATTAATATTCTGAGGCCTAGCCATCTTGAGAATGTTTAATGTGTAGCTTGCAACACTGTTGTAGCTGATTTTGTATATATCTGGTTATTTTCCAGGAGTAGACTAATGCCCTCTGAATAACAGGAGGTCTCTTTAGTCTGAGGGCATCAAAATATTGATTGGTACATGGTGCACTAATTGTCCCAAAGGGACTTCCCCAAATACTGAGCTTACTCTTAGGTTGTAATTAGACCTTGACTGGTAATCATAAATAGCCATTGCATGGAGCTTAAAATGACTTGGTTTTGGTGAAAGATAAGTCAGCAGCTAAGGAAGACTTTACTGGGTATCATAGTTTTTATTCAGTGACAGTCCTTTCATATTACTTGTACATTCTTCCCCTGTGCACATGTTGACTTGTTTTTTAAACTTATCTGTCTAGGTTTGGAGCAAGTATGTGAAGAAGTTGAGTGATTTTGCTAAGCCAGAGAATATTGACTCGGCCGTGCAATGCCTGAACGAACTTATAACCAACACCCTACACCACATCCCAGATGTCATCACCTACCTTTCAAGACTTAGAAACCAAAGTGTTTTTAACTTCTGCGCTATTCCACAGGTTTGGAATGGGGCTATTCTTGTTGTATATGGGAAGCAGAGGCTAAAGGGAATGGTGTGATGGGGGTGGATAAAATGCCTTTACTATTTTGGTCTGCTGTATTCAAGGATATGGTTCCTTAAAAAGATGACTTTATTTTCTTTTGCTGGGGGGCAAACAGTGTTCCACAACACCTCCCCTTTGCCCCACAACCACCGCACTCAGCCTCGAGGTTAAGTCTGCTCCTTTCCAGAACCTTCCAGAACTTTTCTTCCATTAACTATTCTGAACTAGTTAGATCCTTATCCTCACAATTAAATATAGGGCTTTGGCCTGGATTTATGGCAGTGCTGAATAGGGCTTTGGCCTGGATTTATGGCAGTGCTGAGTGCTTCGTGTAGGTGAAGCTGTTATCAATAAAGGTCTTAATGAAGCACCACTCTCCTTTTTACTAGAACCTGATCCTATGGACTTAGCCCCTCAATATTCTAAGACTACACTTTTTAAATGCCTTTCCCAATTACTTCAATTTTTAACTCAAATAAGTGAAGAAAGTCATAGGATTTAACTGATTTGGAAACTTGGTTTGGTCTTGTTCTAAGGACCAACCTTGAGTGGTTGTTGGAACTAAAATCTGTGTGCCTGACTTAGGTTTCCATTTATCCTAGAAATAATTTACATTTCAGCTGGGAAACTACCCTCCCCTTTTCTTTTTTCCCCCCCCATGTTATTTTTTAATGTGTAATGATTATGTTCGATGTACGAAAAATAGAACAAAATAGAAAATTCTTTCCAGATATTATTTTGAGACATATTTTTCAGATCTAATAACTCATTGCTCTAGCATGGAAAATGTTGCATTGGCTTGTGTTTGTTTTTTCCAAATAAAAAGGAACTTTTGTGGCTGAATTGCAGAGTTATTTAAGACTGCAAAGACCCCTTTATTCTGTGTGTTGTTGAGAAAGGAGGAGTGGGAAAAGTCAAAGTTTTGACGTCCTTTCTTCATGGGTGTTTTTTCTGGTTAGTTACATCTTAGCTCTTTGGCGCTTTCTCATTCCACAGAAGGTTTTCTTACCTTTTATGATGCTGATTGCTTACAGCACTGTTTCTTACTTTTTTCATGAAATGAATCAGTGTTTTATCTCTCTCCTTATTACCTGTAGGTGATGGCCATTGCTACTTTGGCTGCCTGTTATAATAATCAGCAGGTGTTCAAAGGAGTAGTGAAGATTCGAAAAGGGCAAGCAGTGACCCTGATGATGGATGCCACTAATATGCCGGCTGTCAAAGCTATAATATACCAGTATATGGAAGAGGTGGGTTTTTATTTAACTACCTGGATAATTTGTAGCTGTTTTTATGATTTAAATAATGTCAGTATTTAAACATTTTGTATTTGGATGTCAGATGATCCTAACAGCTCACTCTGTTATGGCGTAAAGAGACAGAGTTGGTATCCTTTATTAGGAAAAAGTATATGCACAGGGAGCTGACTGTTCTGAGCTGCACACACAGTACCCTGATGTTAGAGGCCACCTACCCTTATTGTTTATGGGTGAGGAGTGTGGAACTGCAGCCTGTGTATGCTAATGCACTGTCCGACTGAGTGACTCTCAGATCCCAGTCCACATTTCCTGACACCCAATCCAGTACTTTCTGTTACATTATAGCCCTCAATTGAGAAACCACAGTAGGGCATTTCAGCAAAGGGAAACCATCAAGTTACAATTATTTTTAAATTTTCTAATGCAAATCTCATTTTTTAAATGCCAATGCCATCCTATAAACAAAACATCCTTGTTCGAGTCAAATCTCCAGCTGTGGAGGGTATGACATCTGACTAGGTTCAAAAGAACTTTGTCTTAGAGGCTGGAACTCTCTAATCACCAGGCCTTAGGGCTGTGGTTCTCAAATGGAGGTGGTTTTACTCCCTCTCCCCGGGGACATTTGGCAATGTCTGGAGACATTTTTGATTGTCACAACTGGGGCGGGGGGTGCCTACTGCCATCTGGTGAGTGGAGGCCCCGACATCCTTAGGTGTATTCTTACTGCAGATTGAAATACTACAGAAGTACATGACAGCATAAAAGGACCCCTCCCGCCTCCCTCCCCAGAGATCACTGCCGTCCGTAGATCGCTCTGTCCTTCCAGCCCCCGGTTGTGCCTTTACACGGAGGTGATTTGTAACAGCAGTTTCATCAAAACAGAGTTCTAGAAAACACTTATTTCCTCTGATTTCTATACCACATCCCCTTGTATTTCCTCCCTGTCTTCTCTTTGACAAGTTCTGGACCTCAGCATTGCCACCAGAGGCACCTATAGAAGGTATAAGAGAAGACCACATTTATCAAAGTCCTAAAATCCCTTTAGTGACTAGATGAAAGTGTCCAGCCATTGACCAAAATATTGCTACCGCCAAGACTCAGGACAGTGTGCTTAACCATATAGCCAGCATTTATTTTGGGCTTCCTATGTGTCTGGCATACAACCGAATAGGTAGGTACTATTAATATCAAGGAAACTTGAGGCCCTAACCCCATGGCTGGAGCTATAACTTGGACCCACGTCCGGCTGACTTTGGAGCCTCTGTTGTTCACCACGATTCTGAGGGGTTGAATTACTCTTTCTAAACTGAATACTGCCATTTTAGGCACAGTTTCTCCATTTTATATAAATTAGAAACGTTTTATGTAGTATGTAGTTCAGAAAATATTTTAGCTTTGCAGTTTTATTCTGAGTCCTAATTTTAGAAAGCCATTTTTTAAGTGTTGTAGGCAGTTCTATTACTATATTAAAATTTGACTTCTAGTGTTCCTCTTGACTACTGGAATTAAATCCTAGTTGTGATTCACAGTTTGACTTAGGGCAGGGGTAGGCAGACTACAGCTGGCTGACCCCGTTTTTGTAAATAAGTTTTTACTGGAACACAGCCACACCTGTTTGTTTACATGTTGTCTGTGGCTGCTCCCCCAATACAGAGGCAGAGTTGAGTAGCTGCTACAGGAGGTGCCCCACGAGGCTGAAAATATGTTTTGGCCCTTTAAGAAAAAGTTCGCTGAGGGCCCCGCCCTGTGGCTGAGTGGTTAAGTTCTCGGAGCTCCCATTCGGAGGCCCAGGGTTTCACTGGTTCGGATCCTGGGTTGGGACATGGCACGGCTCGTCAGGCCATGCTGAGGTGGTGTCCCACATGCCACAACTAGAAAGAACCACAACTAAAAAATATACAACTACGTACTGGGGGGATTTGAGGAGCAAAAGCGGGGAAAAAAAAAAGATTGGCAACAGTTGTTAGCTCAGGTGCCAATCTTTTTAAAAAAAGAAAAAGAAAAGAAAAATTTTGCTGAGCCCTGATTTAAGGCATCCGTTATTTTGTTTCAAGTTACTCCAGTGAAACTCAAGGTATTTTGGAAGAAATGCTTAAGTTGATTTGATTCAAAAAAATCTCTGAAGATTGCTGAGTCTCAAGTAATAGAATGTGGAAATGATTTCAATGTCAGCATTAAGGACGTTTTGTAAATAAATTTCAAGTTAAAACTTTTTGTATGACGTCTACAAGTTGTCTGGCATCCACGTACTCACACTGATCCTATTTCTCCTCACTGACCAAGTGTGTCCTTGGCAGTAAGACAGGAAGACATTTCTTCCGTCATGTCCCTGGCCTTACTGGTCGAGGCAATAATGCACCTGCAGGGGACTTTCAAGATCTCCTTGTGCAGCTCTCATGGTTAAAAGAAGAGTTGGAGCGAAGCCCAGATGCTCCTGAGCAGGTGGACGCTGCTCCTCAGGGCACTCCGTCCTCTGGAGCAGCCTCAGCTTGGAAGGGGCCTAGATACCTGTCAGCTGGGGAGAAGTGCAACCAGCTATTTTGAGACAGAAACAAATGCGCAGGCAAACAGCCAGAAACCTTATTTCCTTCTCTGCCAAAGTTAATTCCTTGGCATGAGCAGTCTTTTTCAAGCTGGCGGAGTTTCCTGTCTCACTCTCGCTGTGGTTAATGTAGGGCATCGCCATGCTCTTCAAGCCCTATTTATTCTCTCCGCTCAGAGTGTGGGCCTCTGTCCGGCAGCTTCTGCGTCCCTGGGAGCTTGCTGGAGTCTCCGTCCCTACTGGAACCGCTGGATCAGAATCTGCCTTTACCACGACCCCCAGGGATTGCTGTGAATGTAGCGTTTGCAAAGTACTGCTCTGTGTCCCAGCCTCTCACTCTCAGCTGACTCCGCCTTTAACCATGTGAGGAAGTGCGAGGTTCTACGTTGGGAGCTCCCTCCACTCTTGTCTGTGTCTGCCTCTCGCGTGCAGGCCTGACTCCCAGGTCCACACACTCATTCCCTCCTGTCTGCTCAAGATCCGCCCTCTTCGTGTGTCTAAACCCTTTCTCTTCCCTGCGTCATTCCTCTCAGTTTATGTATGTGCTCAGGTCACTCACTTCAAGAGGTGACGGAACCAGAGATCTTCCTGCGTGTGAACTCGCCTCCGCCAGCTCTGCCCCGTCTCCTTGCCTTCACAGCTGAGCTTCTCCAAAGAGCAGCTGTACTTAATGTTATTTATTCATTCCCATTCTGTTCTCAACTCACTTCCTTCTAGCTTTTGTTCTTACCTCGTCATTAGAACTTTTCCTACTGAAGTGATTTGATGACCTAATTTACAAATCTAATAACCAATTTAAAAAACTTTTCCAAGATCCCACTGTTTCATTTGACGCTGGATCTTTCTCTCCTTGAAGCCCTTTCCTCCTGTGGCTTCTTTGACACCTTCCTCTGGTTTAACCTCTTAGCTCTCTGTCTACTCCTTTCCCTTCTTGCTCCTTAGCTGGTATTTTCTTGAGTTCTGTCTTGATTTTTATTTTCTCTCACTACACACAAGCTTTCTGGTTCTCTCATGTATGGCCATGGCTGCTGCCTCCACCATGTGCTCGTCACTCCTGACTTGCTTCCTCCAGCTCAGACCTTGGTCATGAGCTGCTGTTGTTGCTGTTAATGACATCGCCATTCACCTAAGCATGGAATCCGGATGACCCGGGGGGCGTCCCAGAGTCCTCCTTTATTCTCCCTAACCCTGTGTAGGAATCTCCATGTCCTGCCTCATCTACCTTTAGGCTTTCTATACTCATCAGAGTTCTGTGTGCGTTACCCTCTGACTGAGCAATCTAGGACTTTCCCTACAAAAAGAACCAGAAAATTGCGAGGATGCTTATTGTAGCATTTTGTCCTCAATCCTCATGGGGAAGGAATTGATTAAATTGTAGTACATTCATACTGTGTGGCTTGTGTTTAAAAAACATGACATCATTTTGTAGGTTCTGGCATTAATAAATGTCTATAAATTGTTCTGAGTGAAAAAAATCAAATTATAGAATATGTTTATAACCTGTTTTTTAAAAATAAAATTTTAGATATGTATAATTTTATATGCATAATTTAGAGTTGCATATATTTATACATTATAATATAGTCATATATAGAGTACATAAAATATATACATGATATTTTATGTGTTATAGATAGGCTTATATGGGCATAGCAAGAGGTATAAAAGTATACTAGTATATTATGTTATTATGTCAATCTATAGGGGACATTTTATACATTTATATGTATAGACTTACTAAGGGCATAGCGAGAGGAGGTGTGAAAGGAAGGATGCCAGCCTGTGGCTGAGGTGAGTAATGTAAGGGAATTTTGACTTTTTACTTTATTTCTATATTGCTTGTTTTTACAAGCATCATTCCGTCATCTAAAGTTGTTTCTAAGGAAATTAAAGAAGAAACTGTGGTTTCATCCCGGCTCTGTTTTTCTCCCCTGTTGCTGTCCTTTGCAGCAGACTGTTAGATATTCGGGATCGTTAGCTCATTCCTGGAGGCACAGTCTTTCGTTTCCTTGTTATATGAAATTGTAGCTGGGCTTTTTTCAGGGAGGAGGAAGGGTGGCAAGAATATATGTTTGTGGGGGCTGGCCCCGTGGCCGAGTGGTTAAGTTCACGCGCTCCGCTGCAGGCGGCCCAGTGTTTCGTTGGTTCGAATCCTGGGCGCGGACATGGCACTGCTCATTAAACCACGCTGAGGCAGCGTCCCACATGCCACAACTAGAAGGACCCACAACGAAGAATATACAACTATGTACCGGGGGGCTTTGGGGAGAAAGAGGAAAAAAAATAAAATCTTTAAAAAAAAAAAAGAATATGTTTGTGGAAAAAATACCTATTATAAATGAGAATTTGGGGGGGGGGGAGTGTGTTTTTAATGCCTGCTCTGTCCTCCTCATCCTCTTTGCTTCCTCTCGGCTTGGACCATTGTCACCTCCCACCATATCACCTCTTACTGATTCGTCAGTTTGGGTCAGTAGACGTTTACGGAGGCCCGCTGTGTGCCAGACGCAGGGCCAGGCTGGAGAGAGCAGGCTGAGTAAGACATGGTGCCTGTGAGGCTTACAGTCTAGTTAGAGAGACAAATACAAATAGATAATTTCAGAGTAAGTGATAAGGAAGGAGGATGGACAGGAGAGCGGCGCTTGGCCCGACCTGGGGCTGTAAGGCAGGTTTTCTAGAAGATACAATACCTATGTTGAAACTTGGACGATAGGTAAGAGTTAGCCAGGTGAAGGACTGTGGGAGGAGCATTCCAGCAGAGGGAATGGTGTGAGTGAAGAAAGGAACAGAAGCGTGCAGAGGGTGGTGGGCAGCAGCAAGGGAGGCTGGAGAGCAATGGTGGGCCCCATCATGGGCGGCCTTGTGCCTCACATTCAGGAGCTCAGACCTTACTTGGCAGGGGCTAGGGAGCCAATGAAGTTGTCAAGCAGTGGTTTTCCATCTCTTTGGGGACAGTGTGGAGAACAGATGAGTGGATTTAAGGGTTCGAGCATAGAGGCAGGAGTTCAGTTTGGAGGCTGGTGTAGCTCGGAGGAGAGGCACTGAGGGCCTCACCAGAGGCAGTAATGATAGGCATGAGGAGGGGGACTGGGAGGTCTGTGGAGAGGGGGAGGAGGTGTGGAGGAGCGAGGACTCTAGGATGACTCTTAGGGGCCCTGCTTCTGCTCTTGCCTGCCTTCCTCTCCCCTGTTGCCTGTACCACAGATTCGATCTCGATTCCCTGAGCTGCGTTTGCCCAGTCTTTCCAATATTATTTCCCTTCTCCATGTTACTCTGCTTCAGGCTAATCAAACTGTGCTGACATTACCAGGTGCCTGTGTGCGCCTGGCCTTGTGAGGTGTCGGGGATGCGACAGTCACTGAGAACCTGGGTAGCTCCCCAGGTGCCACACGTGCTCAGGCCTCCCTGCTTGCTCCCGAGGATGGGCTTCAGGATTACACAGGCCTGCAGTGACATCGGGCCTCCTTAATGGAGTGGCTTTGGGTTATTACTTTCGTGCTCTCTGAACCTCAGTTTCCTCATTGGTAATGGGCATAAGATACCTCCCTGCTTAGGATCGTCGTAAGAAGGAAACACGGAGGATGTTTGTAAATTTCCCAGGACTCAATAAGTGGCACTGACTATTTTTTCCTCTTTCTCCAACAGATTTATCATAGAATCCCCAACTCAGACCCATCTTCTGGTAAAACAAGACAGATCATCTCCACGATCAGGACACAGAATCTTCCCAATTGTCAGCTGATCTCTCGAAGCCACTATTCCCCCATCTACCTGTCATTTGTCATGCTCTTGGCTGCCCTGAGCTGGCAGTACCTGAGCACCCTGTCCCAGGTCACAGAAGACTATGTTCAGACCGGAGAACACTGACGTGGAACCAGGCTGGGGGCTGAAGTTCACCATGACATGGATTGACCTTTTCTTCATGGATGGATATTGGCTTCCCCTCCTTTGTTTCCCTCCTGCTTTAATCCCTAAAAGAACTCTGTGGGCTTGGACCTTTCGAAACTGACATGCAGTTGAGAAGAAGATGAGAATAAAAGGGAAGGATGTCTCATCCTCAGCTACCTGGGGATGCTTGTGGGTGGTGGCAGCTCGCGCAGGGGCTGATGGCAGAGCACTCGTTGCCGCGGGCTTGGGGAAATAGTTGCATATGGGACTGCTGAGAGGTCTTCTTTAGTGTGAATCCTGGCTACAATTATAATTAAATGTATTTCATTTGAAGCAAGCTTTGAATACCTCTCCTAATAGAAAATGAAGGGAATTTTCTTTCTGTTCTATTCCTATTTTTCTCGTCCTTTTTTCTTCAGTTGATTTGGATGTAGTAGATATGAATGTTCATAGTTCTAGGTAATATTCCCACCCATGTTCCTAAGAAATGCAGACTGTCTTCTGCACATGAAGGCTGGGAATTAACTTCTGGGTGTTCTGGTGTTATTTCCTCGTTTAAAGGGAGTTTAGCTTTCAGAAAGAAACAGCAGGATTGCCTCTGGCCCCACTATAGAAAATTGGTCTCCAGTTAAGGCTGATGTTTTTGAGAAGATTTTTATAATAAAGAATTGAATTATTCTGCATTTGTCAAGGGCAGTTCACTTGAAAGCCTGGATGGGCATGGCATGCGTGGAACTCAAGAATGGAGTTAGTGACTGATGGATGGCTGACCGTCTGCTGCCACCACGAAGCCAGCCAGAATGATACTGAGGGGCACAGCTACCCGGCCCCATGCGCCTGTGCCTGCTGGAAACAGCGAGTGGCCACATGGCCTCACTGCCCCACCTTGTGACCTGCATCCACTCTGCCAGCCTACTCGACTTTTGGCTCATTCTCTTAGCTGCGTTCTGAAATTTTATTGCATTCAGAGTTGTTTTTCAGCTTTTCCTTTTTTTAAATTACCAGTTTATACACCGAAGTCTCGAGAAAGGTAAAAGATGTTCTCCAGTGATCGGTTTAAAAGCTGAATGATGCTTCGCCTAATTCTCCTAGCAGGGCTCACCTCCCTCTTTACCCCAGCACAGCCAAAGTCTGTGGTGTCCTCTCCCCCAGCGACTCACTGAGATTCTCGCCTCGGACAGGGATGACATGGCCCCTCGCTAGGGGTGCGTTTGCAAAAGCCCCTTAGGCTGAGAATCAGTGTTGTAGGGCATTGAAGTAACTTTCCAGAAGCCATTAATGCTCTCAGTATATATCATGTATAGTCTGTTCCTTGGCTACAGTCCTTTGTGTACAGGGACTTAATCATTGGATTTGAGGTTTTTTCTAGCAATAATGTTGGATTGACATTGTTGCACACACCCTCACTGATTGTCCTCCTGTGACCACTGTTGCCGTCTGACGCAGCTGGCTTAGCCTCCGTCAATGGAGGCTTCAGTTAATCGGTTCCTTTGAGGCTCCGTCCCGGACAAACTTGGCACCACGCTGAAGCCAGAGTAACTTGCCACATGCCACTGTAAGCCAGACTCAACAGTAATTTCCCAGGCAATTTAACCATCAAAACTTGATTGGAGATTCCCAGGAAGACTGTTGAAAATTTGTATGTTGAAATCTAAGGTCAGTTCTGCTAAAGTTCACTTAGGGCACAAGACACCCTGGCAGAAGGAGCCTTGATCTGCGGTGGACGAACTGGAAGCCTCTCTCCTGGCTCAGTCGTGGCCTGTGGGACCTTCCAAGCTTCCGTGTGGTCTAGGTGATCTCTTAGGTCCCTCACAGCCAGAAAGCTATGTAATTTTCACTATCACGGGCTTGTGCAAAGGTCTTAGCTCTCATGCCCTCTGCTAAGCTCTTTGGAAGACTGTTTCCCTCATAAATATGTTTCTCGGCTAAAACTGCCACATAAAATACAGGAGGCCCAGTTGGACTTGAATTTCAGATAAAGTGCTTTTTTAGTATAATGATGTCTCAAATATAGCATGGGACATATTTATAATAAAAAATTACTTTATCCAAAATTCAAGTCTAATGGGGCATCCTGGATTTTCATTTGCTAAATCTGGCAACCCCACCCTCTACTCCATTTTGAAGGTAATTAAATGTATAGCGTTGCTGGCATAAGTCTACTTGATTCCTACTTACAGTGGAATATTTTAAGTTTTCCTCAGAGGAGCAGCTGACCCCTCTGAATGTAGGGCTTTAAATGAAACTCAGTTACAACAGATGGGAGCAGGAGCCTGAGCTCTAGGTTTTGGGAGCTTCTAGAGCTCTAGCTAAACCTGCACACACGCACACCTCCTTTTGGTAAAGTTCTCGGAGCAACTGCCTGGAAGCCCCGTTTTTCTGTCTACTGAGCCATTTCTCTGGCTGGAGGGGCTGTGTGACTAGGGGAGGAGGAAAGATGGCTGCCATTTGTTAATAAGCATTCTAGGTTATTAGCAGTTCTGGAGGCAGAGCTCTAAGGCTGTGGTTCTCGAATTTTAGTGTGTATCATTAGTGCCTGACGGTCCCAGATTGCTAGGACCATAGACTTTCTCAGTAGGTCCGGGGAGGTGCCCCCAAACTTGTGGGGTTTTTCATTGTTTTTTTTTATTGAGTTCATAATAGTTTACATCACTGTGAGATTTCAGTTGTATATTATTTCTTGTCTGTCACCACATAAGTGCTCCCCTTCACCCCCTGTGCCCATCCCCCAACCCCTTCTCCTGGTAACCACTTAACTGTTTTCCTTGTCCAAGTACTTGTTTATATTTCACATGAGTGAAATCACCTGGTGCCAAACTTGTGGTTTTTAACGAGCTCTCAGGTGATAACAAATGCTGCTGGTCAGGAGAGCAGTTGGAGAACCACGGCTTTATTTAAAGAATTATCCTTCAATCCTTCACTTTAGTGAACATATGAATCACCTGGAGTCTTGTTACAGTACAAATGCCGATGCAGAGGTCTGGCCCCAAATTATGCTTTTCTAACAAGCTCTGAGGTGATGGCAGTGCTGCTGGGCTGTGGACCACTTCCAGTAGCCAGGCTCTGAATAGTTATCTGATGCATATTAAAGAGTGGAAAAGCTTCAACTACCTATCTTTGCTCAAACTTCTAAATCTGAAATGTCTAAAAATATGCCCTTCTTCAGGTAAAGAATGAAAAGGCACTGTCACTTGTCATCTTGTTTGGACAGGCACCCAAGGAAAACTTATCACCTAGGGAATTGAACTGACGTGACGAGGTGATGACTGATGGGGTAATTTGAGCTTTATTAAAGTGCTGACATCGATCCCAATCATAAAATCCCTTTTATTTTGTTGTTTTCTAACAAAGACGCCTTAAGCCAAGTGTGAAGATACCCCGAAATTCATTTTGGTCCTTCATTTAGCACATGTCTGCTGGGGTGATGATGGAGTTGCAGGTGGGCACATGGCGACGATGGGGGAAAGCAGTATCGAAATGGAATTATTCAACTCAGTTTGGGAGTGGGTAGAAATATCCCAGAACTTCACTGAAGTTATGAATGTATTCTAACTGGAATTGTAAGAATAAAGTGATTACAAATTTGTGGCTTTGGTCACCCTTGTTAAGCACTTCACAAGTGCTATGATATTTCACCAATTTTCCTACAGTGTTCACCAGGTGTTTAAGAGTTTATCTGAGGTAGCTTCTGATTCCTAACTTCTGAGTCAAATCAGAAGTCAGACTTTCCAAGCTTTTGGAAATAGTCCAACTGTTGGTTGGGGAAGGGAAATAATTGAGGTGTTGACAGGCCAGTGTTATGGGTACCAATTCTTCTAGTTCCCTCAAGAACTGGTATACTTCATTGCTGATTCTTAACCAGGACTATGCCAAGATATAGCTCTTAACCAGCAATGTAAATTGAAGAGTCACAGGGACTCTTAAAATACACCACACAGGCCCTGCCTCCAGCTCACTCCAGGTTGGAGGGCACCAGGGAAATGGGACATCACCAATACACCGTGCCCACATGAACCCTCAGACAGGTCACTGCTGGTTTGTGGTTGGTAAAAGATCGAGTATGACTACGTTCTTAGCTCCTTAAATTAAGCAGCGGCAGAGCTTATCAAGGCTTGGGGCAGTCTGGAGGATGGACTCAGAAAAGGGTTGATGAGAATGACAGGGGACTATGAAGAGACAGAAGCCATGGTTCAAAAGTATGGCTGGGGCAGGAGGAAGTTAAAATTAGGTATTTATCTTGTTCCACCCAATTGAGGCGAGAGATCCTGGTTAGTGGTTAGAGTTTCAAGGGCACCCATATCCACGAGAACGTGCTTCTTTCTGGGGGATAAGGACAGACAGCAGCTACAAGTCTACAGTGACAAATGATCTTTGCGATCCCACCAGAACACAGACGTCACATTGAAGGAGAACACTTTTATTGGCACAGTCATTCCTTTCCTTGTAAATTAACAGAGTAAAGCAGTGATTTTTAAACAGTAAAAGCTGGTTTCTCCCACACTAGTTTCACTGTAGTATCAGAGGTCAGATCAGCCCAATCATAACCACCCAGTTTTAATTTAAGGAGCCCATCTGTGAAACTAGCACGGCTCTTCCAATGATCAGACTCTCTTTCACATGATCAGCTGAGGTGCACAAAAAATAAAACTTCTATTACAAAAGAATCATGCCAAGGACAAGACTAGAGATGGTTAGCAACAGGGCAAAGCTCAGTAGATGCAGGGGCCCTAGGAGAACGTGGCTTTCTCCAAAGAGCTGCCCGCCCCACTATTTCTCTTCTCAACTGATTCCAAATCTGGAAAGCTGCTTGTTTAGACCTACCACCGATGCATGGGAATTTCTCTTGTTAGGAATTTCACTTTCTGTCTCTTTGGAAAACCTACTAACCCTTTATGTCTCTGTCTTGCTGCCTGGGGATGCACAGATGGGGAAGGCCGAGGAGGTGGCTGCAGCGGAGCTGGAGCAGCAGGTCCTACACACAGCACTAGTCTAAGGGGAAGGACTTGCTCTGCTGGCCGCAGGGCTTATGTGGTCTGAGTGTGTGCACTGTGACAACAGTCTGCTGAGCGGGCTGGGAGGGAGCCAGGCCTTGGACGTATCTCCTTGGAAGACAGCTCTGATGGTAGACACAAGGTTTGGCCCAATCCAGTCCTTCAGGCCCTGTCTAAAAGTGCTTGTATCTTATCTGAAAATAAAAGACATGCCCCCCTGCCCATAGCCCAACTGGCTCTATTTAGGGGAAAACAGCCCTGGGCTGGCCGACAGGCCCACCGCAGATTAGATCCTCTTCCAGTACTGATCAGTGCATGGGATTCCAGCCACGATTTCCGATTCAATTCCACAGTGATCCTGGCCTCTGAGGATTTTAAAGAAGCCTGGAAAGTAAAAGCAGGGTGCCTTTAGAGTGTGCCTTGGGTTTTGACCCTTGCCAACATATTCAGACTCATCCCTGAAGACCTAGGAGCAGAAGTTACCAAGCCAGCCCCAAAGCAGTCACCAAGCTAGCACCAGGGTGCTCTGTCGGCTTAAACTGTTTGCCCAGCGGCCCAGCTCCATATCATGAGGCCTCTGGACACCACTTCATTTGAGCCCACGTCACCATCACTGCAGCTGGTGCGATGGGGACTGTGGCAGGCACAGCAATTTGAAGTTGTGTCCTGGCCCATGCTACCTTCTCTTGGGA